TAAAATAACGGGGTTGCGGATTTTTATCCCCCTGGAATTTTACCCCCTGGGCAAACGTGACGTCACAAACCAGGGGGTAAAATTCCGGCCGCGAACTTTAGAGTTTCGCGACATCAGCTCGATGGATTGAACACGGAATTAAACATATGCTTTCACGGTTGTGAATTTAATCAGAACACATCAAATTATAAAACCCTAGAGAGTACGGCCCGGATTCTTACCCCCGGAATTTTACCCCCTGGAAAAATATATAAATTAGTGAGAATGATTAATTACTGTATCTTCATTCTGTTTTAATTTAATAGTAAACATTTTATTATTAAGTAGCCTATCTTAATTTATTTGTAACATCAACTAATTGAAAAGGTTTTTTATTTTTATTTTGAGATTCGAGTATCAGGATTCGATCTTTGAAGCCAACTGTTAAATTAATATGACGTATAAACAAACATCAGAATGGTAATTGATTCTAAGATTTCTTTAAAGATTTATTATACAACTGTAGTAAAACAATGTTTTTCGTTTGTATTGTAACAATAACAAAATATGCCTTATTGTTTCTTTACAAAGAAATGCTCACCAAATTATCATTTAAATGAGCTACTCAGTTTAAGTTACATACTTATTAACCAACAGTTGGCCCTAAACACAAATCCCGAACATCAATATTAAACAGCGAATTCTGTTTACTTAGTTGAGATTACAAAATAAAAAAAATAAAGATAGGCTACTAAATAATGAAATCTTTTCAATTAATGAAAAATAGAAATAAGAAAATCAATAATTCAATTTCTAAAATCGGCCAGGGGGTAAAATTCCGGGGGGTAAAAGCCGGGGGTAAAAATACGGGGGTAAAATTCCGGGGGGTGAAAATCCGGGGGTAAAATTCCAGGGGTAAAAATCCGGCCCGTACATCTTCAGTTGTCTACACGCTAGTTATGTAGTTAGTTGTGTATGGATAGGGTGTGGAATTCCGGTTTTTATCGCTAATCTAATTAATCACGCTCTGGCTATTTTCTTTAGACTTCACAATCTGCGGGGGTAAAATTCCGGCCGCAAACAAACTTTTTGCTACTCAGGTTACTACGTCATAGTGACGTCAGCTTTACCCAGGGGGATAAACTTCCGGCGACCCAAAATAACTGCTGTGTCTTTTATCTAGAACCATTTATTTTATTAAAAGACCAAGGATCCTTTGGATCAGGGGCTACTGGGTCCAATTTGAACCATTGGCAATCTTCACTATTATGTGAAATGTTAATTGTTTAGTATGAAATAAATAAATGTTCTAAATTTGATCAAAATATGTTCATAAACAAGCAAACTCCGACAGTTTACTTATACAGTACTTCATAAAAATTACCCACGGCCTTCGCCCTGTTTGACTTCATAAGTATTAATAAAATTATTGATTGGTTAGGTTGGGCTGAAATAAACAAAACAGAATACATTAATACAAACAAATAAGTCAGCTTAGGGTTTTTAACATAAGGTAATAGGTAGTTCCCTTTAGAAAGGAATTATGACGTTAAAAGGTAATTTATGAAAAAATAATGGAAATAATAATGAATAATAACTATTTCATAAATTATTATTTATGAAATAATAATTTAAGAAATAATAATTAATGGAGTTAGTTTTGCACAAGGTTTCTCGTCATGACGGACATTTTAAGTACATATGGTTTATGGGGGTGTGACTTTTGTAGTTTTCTCAAAAGCTCATAGGTACTTTTGGCTTTATATATAGATATACAAAATGATTTGGATAAAAATTGTAAAATTGTATTCAGGGTGAACAATGGGAAAACCAATTTTACCCCGTGAAACCCCGTTCCAACTGTCCGATCATGCTGGTTCAAAAACTTTTTAAATATGTAGGTTTACATGCTTATACCAAATGTCATCAAAATGGGATCATTTTTGGGGGTAGCTGATTTTTATCCCTCTGGTATTCTACCCCCTGGGAAAAAGTGGTGTCACAAACCAGGGGGTAAAATTCCGCAAACTTTTGAGTTGCACAACATCAGTTCGATGGATTAAAGGTGGAATTAAACGTATATTTTTACGGTTGTGAATTCAATCAGAACACATCTATATATATAAAATCCAATGTATGTTTGTATGTTTGTATATTTGTATGTTTGTATATTTGTATGTTTGTATATTTGTATGTTTGTCCTTTATGGACTCCAAAACCACTCGACAGATTGTAATGAAACTTTCAGGCATTATTAAGCATTATTCAAGGATGGTTTGTGTGAAGTTTGGTGCAGATCCGTCAATAGGGCTCCGCCCCAGTGGCTCTGGAGTTTCCCATGTTAACCTTATGAGTACTCATATTTAAATGGAATTAAAGAATCTTAACAGCTGGTGCAACTAAACAATTTGATTCTGTGATGTTCAATAGCATTAAAAAGTTAATAGGTTTACCAACAGGGTGCAGCACTATATTTATTTTTAATTTATGTGAACAGCTAATTTGCAACCAAAAGGTGAGTGAGCGTAGCGAACGAACTTCAACCTGGAGGCGAGTTAGCGTAGCGAACGAGCTAACCTGAAGGCAAGTGAGCGCAGCGAACGAGCTCCAACCTAAAGGTGAGTGAGCGTAGCGAACGAACTTCAACCAGGACGTGATTGAGCCATGCGAACGAGCTCATCTTGAAAATGAACGAGCATGTGACATAAAACCACAATAGGACAGGACGACGTCTGTCGGGCCAGCTAGTCAAATTATAAAAACCTAGTCAGTCGGAATTTAAGGGCCGCCGGAATTTTACCCCCTGGGCAAAGCTGACGTCACTATGACGTAGTAACCTGAGTGGCCAAAAGTTTGTTCGCGGCCGGAATTTTACCCCCGCGGATTGTGAAGTCTAATGAAAATAGCCAGAGCGTGATTAATTAGATTAGCGATAAAAACCGGAATTTCACCCCCTGTCCATATAACTAGCGTTTAGACAAATGAAGATGAACGGGCCGGATTTCAAACACCGGATTTTTACCCCCTGGCCGATTTTACAAATTGAATGATTGATTTTCTTATTTCTTTTTTTATTAATTAATTGTAAACATTTCATTATTTAGTAGCCTATCTTTATTTATTTATGTTGTAAATAAATGTTCGAAACAATTATCATTCAGTTGATTGTTTATACGTCATATTAACCAACTGTTGGCTTCAAACATCGAATCCTAATACTGGAATATCAAAACTAAAATTAAACCTGTTCGATTAGTTAATGCTACAAATAAATTAATATAGGCTACTTAATAATAAAATGTTTACTATTAAATTAAAACAGAATGAAGGTAATTAATCATTCTCACTAATTTATGTATCTGGCCCGGGGGTAAAATTCCGGGGGTAAAAATCCGGGGGGTGAAAATCCGGGGTATAAACTGTATAAATGTTTCACAAAATCTACCGAAATAAGTGTGAAAATGGAGTATCAAAAGATAGTTTAAATGTCACAATCAATAAACTAGATGGTTTACGTTACCAAAAGTCTGTCCACTTTACTGTTAAGTATAGATCCATGAGCGAGTGTTAGTTTGAGTTTAACTACCTAGACTCAACCTATCTTACCCAGTGTCTTACGCCGTGATTTAACTACAGTAGCTACAATCAGTGTTAAATGTGTCATTTCGATTGTGATCGTATTTTGATTCATTTTATGATGTAAAACAAGTAACGAACCCTGACAAGAGATAGGTAAGCAGCTTGACGTGTTTCAAACTCAAAACTCTCCAAAATGAAGATGTGCATAGTTTTGTGTGGCACGAAACGGATACATACCTACAATACACTATTTGTGCATTTTAATTATAGTCAATTTTTTTGTTACGAAGTCCTTTTTAAATCCAACTGCATCTCTTTACTCATCTCGATATCTTAATCTCTTTTAAGAGTAACTTTCACTCTCTTCTCAGATGAATATGGAGATTTCCATCATATATGTACCTCGATGTAGAAAGTGAAGATCCTAGGTGTTCAGGGCCGCCTAGTCTTAACCTGCCCCAAGTCTGGGTCTGTTGGGACCATCGGCTTTCTCTATTTACATACCGCTACTTTTATTGTTCGATAACATTAACTAGTTACGGTACTCCAAACAGTGGACCAGCATCAGTGGTTTGGTTGTCCAATGTCCATCCACCATTAACTGCCGGTTGTTCACCCCGAACTGACCTAGTCAAGTAATGACTGCCTGGTCCAAACACGGATGCAACAAAACTATTCTTTGGTTGGAATACCAAACAAAGAAAAAGACAAAAATCTACACAACTTAGTTCAAGAATCATAAAATCAAGACATTTTAATCATCAGGAGTAATGTACAATAATGAATACAGTGGGTCGTCTTCAACAATAATTACGACTAGGCCTACACCGTGAATCCCAAACATAAACAAATACGATAAATCAAAGAAATACTATTACTTTAAATAGTCTGTGCGAGTGCTTCATAATCAAAATGCCTATAATCAGTTCAGCGAAATATCTAAAAAATTGTGTTCGAAATGTTTTCCATTGATTCATAATAAACTGATATTGAGCTATAATGCACCGGTATTGTTTCTGAACTTATAAAACTCAATTAGATCGTCCTTGAGGATTTTACCATGATCGTTAATAGTTTTCGATGAAGTGCAGTACATTTTCTAGTCCTTTATTATTCACGTAGCCTTATTCGTAACACGATATTTCCGTAAATATTTAACTATTTGATCACTTCGAAGAACAAATTTTTCGACAATCAAATAACTTACAATAACTGATAGCGAGAAGTATGTTTTGACGTCAAAATATGCAGTTTTTGAGACCTAATTCCAAGTAGCAAGAAGCCATTATGCTCTCTCTATACTAGACTACAGAAATAGGCCCTGGTAGTCGTCACCATAATGTATTCAAATAACGACACAAAGCATCAGTCAAAGGTCCTGTACAATTTTAGGCGCAGGTTAGGAAGTCTCCTGTTTTTATGTCAGTCCAGTTCTTACAGCGATGTGGGTGCAAGCGGTTGTTTTGGTTCTGTTTATTATTCTGTTTGCTGTTTTGGTTTATGACGTCATCAAGCCCCCCAACTATCCGCCAGGTAACTTGAATATATTTTGTTCAGACTGATGTTTAGGTTAGCCTACTGACTCTATCGCCAAAAATATGTGGTGTACGGCAACTAAGTTTTCTAATTTTGTATCAGCCCAACACCTAAACCAGGGGACTTTAATTTGTTGCCTTATCTTATTAACACGCTGACAAAAATGACTCAATAAGATCGGTAAAAATGTATTGTATCTTGACTGAGTTTCAACTAAAAGGGCGCGTTTAGAAGCAGTGAAAATTGTGTTGGCATTTTGTACTGAAGCACGTTTGAATACAGTCCTATATGTTTTAGAATTCTCATGGTAACTTATGCTATTGTATGCTTTCAATTGAAACTTCAAGTAGGACGTTTTTTTTCCTGAGGGCTCAAAAATACCTAAAATATTTTGAACTGTATACTGTATAAGAATCTTGGGCGCTCGCTGGAACAATATAGGCATTTTAACGTCCCTAGAAATTAATAATGAACTTGTAGATTTATTGTAAAATTACGATAAGGGGTCAAAAGATAATTCAGAGAACTCTAGAAATAATACCCTGTGTCTTGTGCTAGAAAAGGTAAAAGATTCCAAAGCATCGATTACAATAGCTAATTTTTTATACAAAAATATAATAAAATATAAGTAATGAAATCAAAAATATTCTTTATTGAGGCGAACTTATGACCTCATGGTCCTTTCTTGCAGTTAACCTCTGTAAAGGTAATTTCACTCAGTTATCGAGTCGTAACGAAATACTACTGAAAATACAAGCTTTTGCGAGTTTAAGCTGCATTGTATTGTACTTAGATTTTAAGAGAATATTTAGAGAAGAGATTGGAGTCGCTCCTAAAAAGTAAATAGACCAATGGAAACCCCTGTTAATATTTACAGCTTGGAGTGCACCAGTGCATTTACTTTGCAGAGTTTATTACAATTAATTAACTGTATGACCTCATGCGTTTGGTCCGACAGCACCTTTTTGTTGGTTTATCTACTCAGATAAAAGATCACATTGGTTGGATGTTGTATTTAGGAATTTTAACTCCGAACTATTTCTAACGTAACAAGGGTATTTTAACACAACTTCCCTCAAAATTGTTCTTACTTCATTCTCGTATACCTACATTAGTAATTTAAAGAAATCATTGTTTTCGTCGACTTTCTAAGTACGATTGTCTGTACGATGGTTTCGGAGGTGCTCGAATCTAAAAAAGTAATTTGAAGTTTCAAAGTGATTTAATTGGTATTCGTGTATAGCATAGAATTTCTTCTAGTCTAGCTTGATTGTATACACATCAAGCTAGGTTGAACAACGCATCTAAACCTCATTACATACACGTGGAAATAAAACAGTGCCATTACATCTCATCTCATTTGCATAATGTGTTGCCAACAAAGCCGGGCTAGGTTATGGATGTGGTTCCCCAAATGATCAAGATTTGTGGCCAAATTCACTACAATTATGGTCCATCCCATCCACAAAATACATGCACAACTTTATGTGATAGACGGCCAAGGCAATAGCCCCTAGCATATCAATTAAGTTCATTTTTGACAGCAACCTGATGGCACGATTTCACAAAACTACGTCAGAGTTTAATCAATTAGCAAATAAGTACATGATAATGGAATACATTGGTCGATGTGGCAAGAGAAGGAATCAAAATTGTTTAGACGGGGGTCACTTTATGCCCTAGTGATGAAATATACCATTTATTGAAAATCTGGAGTGCTAGCAATCAAATGAAAACTCTTCTTTTATATGCTGCTGAATAGACGTTGTCATACTACTTCAACACTGTGTGATCAGAGTTTTGTCAAATTTATGAAGACCTTTACCTTGTCAAATTTACCGCTCCACTCGAGTGGCCGCGCATAATAAGGCTCTTATTATTGTTACTTTTGTCTGTTATTCAACCGAAGTTTGGGTTAAGCAAAGAAAAGGTACGGAGGAAACATGCATTTGGGATGACCATTCGCTCTAATCTCCAGTATATTGGGTGGGGAATATGAGATAATTGTGAAATTTTCATCGCACAGAGTCTTCCTCCACCTTGAGTGTTGTAGTACATTGTGACTAGGGGGGGTGTTGAATTTGTTAAGTGTACTATCAAACGTTTCCTCTGTACCTTTAATTCTCTGAGAGTAAAGCTACTAGTCACTGGTTAGTCAAGTAGACACACTACTTCTTTAACTCTCACTTCGTTTGCAGGACCCCGATGGCTGCCTGTTGTTGGCAACTTACTGCAAGTAATATCTCTTCGCAAGCATCTTGGCTTCACTCATCTTGTGTGGTGTCGTCTAGCAGAGATGTTTGGCTCAGTAGTTGGTCTACGACTCGGCAGAGACCTCATCGTCATCGTCTCTGGCTACAAACTCGTCAAACAAGTTTCGACACGAGAAGATTTTGATGGTAGACCAGATGGCTTCTTCTTTAGACTGCGCTCGTTCGGTGAAAGATTGGGTGAGTAGGTTCTCAATTTTCAAGTCATTTCACCCAAAATGAGCAATAGCATTCATACTTCAGCAAAATGTATTATAGACTGCACCCAAATTGTATCTACTTCATTCCTACGATTGACAACCACTAGAGAAGGATCGAAGATGAATTATAGTCGTGAACAAAGTAACGTGGATCCAGGGGATGGGCACTGATGCAACATCTAGTACCAAATTGCAGCCTCTCCACACCTTGTATCAAAGTGGACTATTGAGCCCAAGAGCGATGAGAATTTTTAAATATTTCAAATATAAATAAATAAATGTATTGTTGTTTCTTTTCAGTTCTGGTAATTTTATAGCAAATTTCATACAGTACTAGCTTTTCAGTATTTACATATTTTTATTCACAAGTGCATAGATAATTTATATAAATTTTGACATTAATATATTACATCGATTTACACATAAGACTCATGGTAAGACCATGGGAATAATTTACTTTTTCAGGGTGTCCACAGAAATTTTTTCATTAATTTCCCTGACTTTCCATGACCATTAACCATTGATTTCCATGACTCACAAACTTAACTCAAAAAATATAATATGCCATACACACAAGAATAATACTGCCTAGACAAGTTATTTCACAGAAAATACTGAAATATGTATTAACAGATAACAATGGAGTACAATAGGTACAACAATGAACTAATACAAACTCAAAATCCATAAACTAAGACAACTGTATAAATTAAATCGTCGTACATTTGTGAAAAATTCGGAAAAATGGTACAATAGTCAGGGTTACGGTCGACTAGAGCATTTTAAATGAAATCCAGCCATCATTGGAGATTTCCATGACTTTATGCCTATTTCCATGACTTTTAATGACCAGAAGTTTTTTCCATGACTATTCTGACTTTCCAGAATGTGGACACCCTGCTTTTTGTTTTGAGGTCCCCAGTTGTGTTGTACACTAAATTTTTATAGAAAAAAATAAAAACTCCAAAATTGTTAATTCCCTTTGTTTATCCTCAAATTAACGAACTAAATAAACAAACAAACTGTTGCAGTTTGCTTGTTAATGGATATATTTTGTTTGATCCATTTTTTTTATATTTCAAACTAATCTATTGACATTTTATAAAGAAATTGATTACCTTCCCTGTAGCAGGAAAACTAGTTGCCCATTAAACCTACTTTTATTAAATAAAAAGGCCAAAAAAGTTTCAGGATTTTTGGTAGCCTACTTGAAAAAATGACCTGAAAAAGAGTGTTTTAAAAGTTAAAAACCAACCCATTCAACTGAAAAAATCAGAATAGACCACATATTTTAATTCCAAAACATTGTCAACACTTTATTGCTGCTTAAAAAACTTGAGTTACAAAAATGCAACACAACTAGGAAAAGGGTTACAAGAAATAATGAAGGAATACTGACAAAACGCTGGGTTTAAAGTAAAGTTTAATAAGTAAAACGCTAACATCAACGCTTCCTGCGCAGCTGCAGCGTGTTCCTCCTCTTCCAGGCAGCGCGACGGGAGCCTCCCTTGGTCTGGGAGAAGCGGTGGCCCTTGCCCAGACCTCGGGACTTTCTACCAGCCGAGGTCTTGCCTCTCATCTCACGGTGCTTGTGAACTGCGTTCACAATCCAGTTCACCTTCGCGTCTCGCCGGATGGCCTAGAACAAAGTTAAAAAAAATCTTATGACTATATTCAATATTTTTTTTATCTCAAACACAAGCATCTAATCTACTTTAACAAAATGATTTAACTTACATACATCTTGTGAGAATTACTAAGATGTGTAAATTATAGACAATATCAGTGTATTATTCCCTCTTCTTAGACTGAAACTTAAGAGAAATTTTAGATTTTAAATTCGGAACATTAAAAGTTTATTGATTCATCTAAGTTTACAATAGTTGTGGTTCTAATAAATTGTGTAGTTGATAGTCAATTTATTAAGCTGATTACAATGATTGAATAGGTTTTTCCTGTGCGGGTGCTCAAAAGGCGAACTCAATTCACCTTAAGTAACATACTTTTACTTTTTTTAGTAATTTAAAACATCTAACAATGTCAATTTGTTTTATATTGTGCTGCTTAGTGAAAATAATTGTGAGCTGAAAACTATAAAATAAAAACAATTGTTAACAAAATATCAGCGAAACCAAAATACTTGAATAACCTAGAATATATACTAGACTACCTTAAAAGTTTGAAACATGATTCATCAGACATCCAAGGAAGATATAACAATCACAGGGTTTCATTTAGTAATTTGTGCATCATCATAGAATCATGAAAACTATCAGGACAATGAGTAAATAGTTATTTGTGCAACTAGTGAGAAAAGTGAGCAATTGACTCACTCGAGAGAAATCCTTACTCACGAGCCGTAGGCGAGTGAGGAATGGTTTCTCGAGTGAGGCAATTGTACTTTGAACTCGAGTTGCACATTATACTTTTCCTACAGTTACCATAAAACAAAAACATTTGTGAAGAAATATGAAGAAACATAACCTATTTTTACACAGAAGTGAACTTTTAATATAACATTTAATGTGAAGTGACAAATACAACAGTACAACAGCTGACCATCTGATTTACAGCCAGTGCTGCCAACGTACTTCGCGCGCATACGACGTTGCTTGCATGTTACGCGCTCACTATTTCGTGCCTTCACGTTGCAAATCTGGAGTGAGACAAAGTAATTAGAGTGAGACAATGTTAACATTGTCTCACTGATGAGCGAATTGGCCACTTTGCTTTCTCAAATCAGTGAGAGAACATGTACATTGTTAGGTAACTGTAGGAAAACTAATTTGTAGTTTACAAGATTTGATTAGGCCTAGAATGCTGAGAAAAGGGAACTGTTTTCATTCAGTGTTTAGAATCAAACAGTAAAATAGCGAAATTCAATTATCAAAAGTTAATGAAACTAATAATTTAAAAAAATCATAACCAACATTTGCAAGGCTTACTTTAACAATGACAGCATCATAAAAATAATTTTGAATTTAAATATAAAAACCGTCAAAAGTATGTTAAACATGATTCATCAGATATCCAAGGAAGATAAAACAATCACAGAGTATCAACTGATAATTTGTACATCATCATAGAATCGTATTTAACATTGGATAACAAGCAAATGTTATTTTATTTATTCAATATTTGATTATAATATCATAAATTGATATGACAGAAAAACTCATTATGGCCTATACAAATGGTTCATCAGACATCCAAGGAAGATGTATGCATCACAGTTTATCATTGGTTAGTAAAACCATCATCATTGAACCTTTGAACTGTATACCATGTATGCTAATCTTGGACAGTTTTCAATAGTTAAAAAGGTGGGATTTACCAAATATATCTTTAAAAGTTTGTTTATATAAGCATTTAAAATTACTTTGTCCAAAATATAACCTTTCATGCCGGATAATCTGAAAAAAGTGAAGATGCTAGAATAGTAATTTTACTAATGGTTCATCAGACATCCAAGGAAGATGTATGCATCACAGATTATCATGGGTTTGTAAAACCATCATCATTGAACCTTTTGATTTTTGGGACAGTGCTTCAGACACAATTTCATAGGCAATGGTAGTATTATGCAAATAAATTATCAAAATCTCCATACCTTGTGTGATGGGTCAACGCAGATCACTTCGTAGTATTTGTACGTAGAGTCTTGAGCCACCCAGTAGGAGTTGAGAACTCTCAAGCCACCACAGCGGCGACCCACTCGCTCCTGAACATAGGGACAAGGTTGAGAGTAATTATCATGTAGGCTATAACTTCAAAACTAGAGGCCAATTGCACTTGCATTTTGACATCAGACATCCAAGGAAGATAAGTCATCACTGGATTTCAAAGGAATTTTTAAATTGTCATCACTGTCAAGTATTATAGAAGATATCTACTAAATCTCGCTTACAAATTAGGCTAAAGGTGTTATCCCTAAAGACAAATTCAAGAATGTAAGTACTACTTTTGGAACTTTACTTTAAACTTCATCACACCACCTTTACGAGATGAATGTTTATTAAGATGTTTTAAAAGAAATAATCATTCTTATCACGTAATCCATTGAACTACAAAAAAGATTAAATTTATAAATTGTAAGTTTGAAATTGGATTATGTATTTTAACTTATTCATTTTTAGACTTGTGCTTTAAAAAAAAAACACTTTCCTAGGAATAACATTTTATTGTGGTATATAATATAGGCTAATATGAGTATGGCTAGTCACAGTGTCACCGCTGATAGTCTCTCGCAATTGAGGCAACACTGGAGATTGGCCTTTTGATTGACGGACATCTCTGACTGACTGTGCTTCAGATGATTGCTACTCCAAAGTATTAACTGTTGTATTTGGGACTCCCGGAGGGTTGGCTAACTTTAAGGAGTGTTTCAGGATATTTGATGGTAATTTTTAATTTCTGTAGGATTCCCGGTTTTTGCAAATAGAGTAGACACCATGTATAGATTAGGCAATTAGGCCTAAAATCAAAATCTTGGAACATCTTGAGCTTATATTCCCTCCAAAAACCGCAAAGGCTCAATGGCCTTAATTAACACAACCACACTTATTACATTCAAAAATATTGTAATAAGGCAATCACTAAATTAGTAATGAACAGCCATATGGGTCATTCCATGTCAATTCAACCACAAAAAAATATTTTTTTCACCCAACATCTCAGATTTTGATGAAACTTGGTATATTTGTTCTACACATAAAGATAAGTAGAACCACCAAATTTGAATTTTTTATATCTTTTAGTTTTTGAGTTATGGCATTTTTAAATTTGGAATTTTTGCGATTTCCGCGCCTCTATGGGCACCAGCCGTTACGTATCGTTTAAGAGAAAATAATTTCTCATTTTGTTATTTTTCACCCAATCTTGATAAAATTTTCAAGTTAGGTAATTATAACTATAAGGAGATTGTGAAAAAATGTACCACTCACCTATGTCAAATCTAACAACAACAAAAAAATGATATTC